TGCTGCTGCTGCTGCCTGCTGCTGCTGCTGCTGCTGCAGCAGTAACAGCAGTACCAGTAGTAGTAGCAATAGTAGCAACAGCAGGAGTAGCAGCAGCAGCAGCAGCAGTAACAGCAGCAGCAGCAGCAGCAGCAGCAGTAGTAGTAGTACTACTATGTGCTCTGCTGCTCAGGTGATCATGATCATGATCAGGTCATCAGGTGATCTGGGGGGTGGTGATGGTCAGCTGTCGTGTGGTGTGGTCAGGCTGCGATGGTCAGGCTATCGTCAGCCTCAGGTCACTACTGTCTTGACAGCACTTTACTAACTGTACAGTGGTACTAGTATACTGTACTCTAACTAACAGTAATCAGTACTTTTACTTAGACATGTAACAGTATTAAATAGTGTTATTAATATTACAGTGTTTGATTATTGATAGATCAATCATAGTGATGAGTCTTCAATTACATGATTGTGCTATTATACTAGTGCTATATTTACTGTATATACTACTAGTACTAGTAATTTTAATAGTAGCCACAGTATGGCTCATAGGGTCTATGTCCCCCAGGGTACTGCCGGAACGTACCCTGGTAACTATTTGATATGGTTAGGGTTAGTGTTAGGGATAGGGTTAGGGTTAGGGAGTAAGCGTAGGTGACTCCCTAGACTCGTTAGTGGAGTAGGCGAGGTACGGTCCGGCATATTAGATAGTACCAGGGTACGTTCCGGCAGTACCCTGGGGGACATAGACCCTCTCAGCCACAGTATGCCCCGCAATCATTAATGCTAATGGATGACATTGTTAATTTACTTGTCTATATTATATAAGTTTGTAAGACCATCTCTTTGTGCCATGTATGATCTCAGTTGTGGAGTATTGAGTCTGGTCGTTTCTGTCACAGACAGTTAAATGGATATGTTGTTTAGTATTTAGTGTGTTTTCTGGAATGGTAGCGAATGATTTATCAATTTACGTCTAATGCTATCTGTCTATACCATACACGCACTAACAGGGAATGTGTCTCCTTCCATCCTAATTTGCCCTCATTGACTTTGTCTAAATCCATTACGTCAAACCAACACCTTATATATGTATGTATTTAAACTTGTCATCTGTGAATTTTCTTATAAATGTAGATATCTTCATTTTATGATAAATATTGCAGTTTATCTAATTTTTACTAATTGTTGATGCTTTTGGAGATCACTGTTCTAAATTTTATTGCCTGCTTGGAAGGTCTGCACGACTGGTAGGAAAATCTGCACAACGAATACTTTCATTTCAGACACAGAGGATATATACTCGGAAGTTGCAAATGAGCTGATTAGAAGGTATCATCCTGAAAAGACGTTTTCCTGGAATGTTAAAGTCAAGATGATGGGCAGAGGACCCAATGATGCAATACAAATCCTGCTAGCTGAGATGGGTTTGCCACTTACCATTGCTGAGTATGCTGCAGAATCAAGCAAAATGTATGAAAAGCGCTTTTCTAAAGCAAAACCTTTACCAGGTAGGATTTCAGATGGAATTTATTATTCTGGACCTGTTTCCTTATTTTTACAGTTTGAATGAAAGAGTTGACACTTAATTTTATTATGTTCTCACAGGTTCTTCAAAATACTATGCTATGGCGCATATATATTTATCAGCTCGACTTATAAAATACTGTAATGCTGTGGCAGTATACACAGTATATCGGCAACAGGTGGCAGCAGTGTCTATCTTACTGCGTGCCGCGAACGAGCTTGGCACTCGCCCGCTCGCCAATGTCAAGTGAAAATAATATCGGGCGAGTAAAAGCTAAAGCTGACTCGCCCATGTTGGCGAGTAAAAATAATTGTCTAAAACTTTAATCAAATGTTGGTTCCTTACGTTATATATCCAAACATTGACGAATCCTCACTTTATATTATCAAAGGTTGCTGAAAAAAGCAGCCTGCGAAAGCATGGCTGTGTATACCTGCCTGGGGCAGCATATTGATTGATACGGGGCGCACGGGGGCGCAGGATTGTTTAAAAGTCACATTGGGCATGTTCATTATAGGGGGTGGGCACCGCTAGGATCAGAGGACGACAGCAAAATTCTTTCCTGGAATTGAGGAAAAAGCTGCAATCGGGAATGACACACAATGAGCGTGCCAGCATGCAAAAATTAACATTGTGTGAATTTCATTACGATTTTCCACGTAGGCGCCTATAATAATATTGTAATATCTGGAGTGTATAATATCGATATATATATATCTATATCTTATATATGGATATATCTATCTATATATATATCTACCTATCTATCTGTCTATATATATAGCTGAAGATAATTAAGCGTTGAGGCCGTGTTAGCTATTCAGTTGGCAGATAGGTTAACTTTTAACCACATTACTTTGCCTTAGCATATTGTTCCTGCACAAATACAGTGACAGAGACTGAGCAGTTCAACCCTCACCATTCTCTCATTTTTCTCTTCATGTTTCTCTTTTTTTAAGTAAGTATTTTAGTTTTTGGTGTTCCCCGAAGATTAAAATATTCAACTCAAAAGTGATATTTTTGTGATGAAGATTGTTTAATAATGCTGCTTCATAGTGCAGGAAAATGCATCTAAGAGGTGTAATTTTAAATAAAAATTCCGTGGGAGAGCCCCCTGACCCCCCTTATTAGGGTCCACTTCCTGAACCAACCCTCTTGCAGCTTTGCTGTTCGGGTGCAGCCTGTGGCAGCAGACAGCCGCTTACTTTCTTGGTTTACCCTGCTACATTAAAAACTTGTGACAAGCCTGGTATGCCTAATAAACACAAAGCTAATACTTTTATTAATCATGGAATAAATTGAACACAATTAAGAGCCTGTTCAAACTTGTAGGGGCCTGTTCCATTTGTCTAAGGGCCTGCTAAAATTTTGGGTGGGCCTGTTCACATTTTGGCTAATTTCTTGCCCTGTA